ACCACATCCAGGGTTACTGTGCACCCTGGGCGGAAATTTGGTGCATTTAAAACGGGGGCTTTCATATATTGCTCGCGTATGACATGCTAATAGCACGCTGACACCCAGAGAGAGGGAGAGAGAGAGAGAGAGAGGGGGGGGGAGAGGGAGAAAGGAAGAAAGAGAGAGGGGGAGAGAGGGGAAGGGGAGATAAAATCGCTGTGAGGTTCAGAATTAGATGCAGTATTCATTAGATTTGTTGCAGCCTTCTAATGACGAAAAGATCCATACAGATTATGAAAGTAAACCAATCTAATCTTAAATATTATCAGGCACTGATGTCATGTGTGCCATCCGCCTAGTATGATAGAGATAAAAGCTGTACTTTCTGGTAACCAACACATGCATTGTGCCTTTTCATTGCGTGGACTGTCACGAACGGGAACAGTGGAAGCGAGGAGAAAGGGAGGACGACGGCAGTTGGGCAGAAAAAACGAACACTAATCCTACAGAGTCGCACGGAAAGGAGGTAAAATTAGTTGCGACTTGTTCAGGCTTCAGGACCGAGGGTCACGAAGCACATAACCCTCGTCATTTGTTTCTGTTGAGAACCGAGCACGTCTACAACGGTCCGTCAATTTCCTGCTTTCGATGTTTCTTTAAGTCCCTGTCGAAAGTTACAAAGCGCTATATAATTGCTTCTGTGATCGTCCTATCTTTTTGAAGCTTTGCATTACAGGTACATGGATCATGTGTTTTTGGTCCCCTGAGGGCTTTGCAAAACAATGCAATGAGCAGTTCAGCTTCAAATGCTGTTTTTAGCACCATCATTGCTCGAAAAGAGGTAAGGGAACCGCGGTGCAAAATTAAAAACGTTTAAAACTTTGGCGGACTCGCACAGATGGATGTTCCCACGCTGCGGTCAGCGCTAGCGTGCGCGTGGTCACGACTGTTCAGTTATATTTTGATTACGCGCACACACACACACACACACACACACACACACACACACACACACACACACACACACACACACACACACACACACACACACACATATATATATGTATATATATATATAGATATATATATATATATATATGTACATATATATATATATATATATATATATATATATATATATATATATATATATATAGTATCCAGGGTCTTGCTGTGCGAAGGAGTCAATGGGAACCAGGAAGGCATATTGGGAACCAATCACATCTTGACTGGAGATAACAATTACCACGACTGGCGGCGGGCCTCTCCCACTGCGGCCTGGCATAGCAGTCTGGCCCCTATTTCATAAGGTACTATGCATGACAATTATGAAGTTGGGACAGACGTTATTAGAAGTTATTGACTCCGTTTTCAGACGATAATCAGTAGTTATTGACTCCGCTCTTGACCGATGATGCCGTTTAAGGTTATGTTGTCTATGCACCCCCCTAGGATTAGCGATTGATTTTTGGCAAAAGTGAGTGTACCATCACCCACCAGGTCCTCGCTGTTACGGCTGGGCTGGACATGATTCGTACATGTATGTCAAAACAGGACTATTGGCAAACGAAAATGCTCTCGGAATATCTAACAGACCCTCACTTCGAGCCCTAAGGCACCACCCTGGAGCACTTACAAACCCACTCTGGGGCACTTACAACTTCAGTCCAAATCTCTGGGTAAAAATTGAAATGCTAAAATTTAGAAAAGGGTAAAAAATGTGAATTTGTGATTTAAACATGGGTGCACAAAGGCATGCATGCGAGCGTGCACAAAGGCACACAAAGACATAAAAACAAAATTACAAAGATGCGTACGCATATCATTAAACTTCAAAAAATGAACCAGCATCTAAATTTGAACGAATCAAACCACCCACCGGCTATGGAGCTTGAGTTGAACCAACAAAACCTGTCCCCGTTGTAGGACAGACGAATTTGAAAACTTGTATTTTGTATTGTGAGCTCCTCCGCTGAAAACAAACGACCTTCGATATTCAACAACTTATAAAGATATATTAAGATACAGTGCTCCAAGTTTCAAGGCAATGCCCATGGTAGCAAACATCATAGTTAGTCAGGATTCAGTCAGGATTCATGTCAGATCAGTCAGATCAAAGTCAGGATTCATGACCATGACCCCCGCCATGAAATGTTGAGTATTCTCACAGTATGTCCTTATGATTGCATGCTGTGTGATGGTGACATTCAGTGCAACACGAGGCAATGGTAGAACAAACACGTCAGTTGTGTTCAGCATGATAATTATTTGTGGCGAAAAACCAGTAATTCAAGGTCTTTCTTACTTAGTGAAAGTAAATCTTGAACTGCTCGATGAATAACCAGCCCCGACAATTTATTTGGCAAAGGTGCGAGTTGAATTTAAGAAATCAAGAACGGCATTGCAAGGTCACGACTAAACGATTCGAGGTGGTGTCATTTCAACACTTGTTTGATTCGTCACGCTATGCTTGCTCAGCTCACTCCCAACAGACGGCAAGACAACAATTACTAGCAGCACTTTCTGTGTGCATGCGCCTAGTAAATCACGTTTGTTGTCCAATGTATTAGTGCATCATGCAAGCACTCACGAGCAGTAAGAGAGAGAGAGAGAGAGAGAGAGAGAGAGAGAGAGAGAGAGAGAGAGAGAGAGAGAGAGAGAGAGAGAGAGAGAGAGAGAGAGAGAGAGAGAGAGAGAGAGAGAGAGAGAGAGAGAGAGAGAGGAGAGAGAGAGAGAGAGAGAGAGAGAGAGAGAGAGAGAGAGAGAGAGAGAGAGAGAGAGAGAGAGAGAGAGAGAGAGAGAGAGAGAGAGAGAGAGAGACAGACAGACAGACAGACAGACAGACAGACAGACAGAGAGAGAGAGACAGACAGACAGACAGACAGACAGAGAGAGACAGACAGACAGACAGACAGAGAGAGGGGAGAGGGAGAGAGAGAGGGGGAAGGGAGAACGAGAGGTGTTAACCGACTGAAGGCTGGTCTACAGAGTTCTAGGGTTCTATCAGTCGCGGCCTGCGGATTATGCCATTGATTGGACTGAAGTGGGTCAGGAAATGTCCAAAAGACGGGCTCGAGAACAGATCAGCCTAAACAGTACGTCATAAAATGGGCCGTGAAGGACTTACGACTTCAAAAAAGTCAATTTAAGAAGAGCAAATGTGCTTACGTGTGCTGTACTTGGCGTTTAAGCGAGATCAGCTTAAATTGTAGTGAATTATCGTGAATGCTGTACAATGCCAGCCCGGACCGGACTGGATTTACGAACAAGGAGATTGTTGGCAGGCTGAATTTAGAACCGGTAGATTGCATTGAGCCACACGTGGTTATGCTAGCATCCGTCGATGTTAGTTAAACCAAGCTGCAGGGGGATGGTGGGCGACGCCGGAGCTAAAGGTGGCGAATAGGACAAATGCAAGGATGATACGGTTGGATAATTTGGTTTGCTTGAATATAGCTGCGTTGAATGTATATATGACGCACATCACTTGATCTCGAAGGGCGATAGCTGTCACGCTGATGACGTCTAGTTTGAGCCCGCCCCTTCCCCCTCCTCCCCCCCCCCCGCACACCGCACCATTCAGCCGCATGTCGTCTCACCTTGAAACTAACGACGTAGACCATGCTTTCATCGCTGACACGAGGCGAGTAAGTACGCGCCACAGGTGCCCTCGCCCCTGGTGTTGTAGCCCACATTGATGCGTTGCAAGGAGAAGACAAGACAAACTTCCTGTTTATGCGTGTCACTGTCTTGGAGCGCATTGAGCCAGCCGGGCCTCGACTGGCAGTACAGTTACGAAGATCCTACTCTTTGGCGCCGTGTTGTAGGGCGCCTTTCTCTCTTCTGAGGCAGTCCCTGGAGACGACTCAGTTGCATCGCTCCCCATTGAAACGCTATGACTTTGTTTCATGTTTTATTTTCGAGCTTCCAGGAACCGTATCACATTTGAACACTACAGCGTTACACGTTAGTGTGGGTGAGGTGGGCACACGCCTCTGAAGACGTGCTTCAACGCGGCAAAATTATCCGACAAAACAAACCTTTCTCGGATCACGGATACACTCACATTAACGGCCAGAGAATTTGTGGCCAGTGGCAAGAATCCCACAGAATAGGGGATGGTCGCCCAAAACAGGGAATACATTTATATCATCATGAAGTATAATGGCCACGTGGTATTGACAATATATATCTTTGGTTTCTACAAGGACATCCAACAGCAAGACACTGTGCATATTTACAGGTTTTACGAAATACGTTTTCTACAGCAGCGTTTAGTCTGAACATAGCTTTTTTGCTTCTAGAAGTCTTATTAACAACAATGTGGGCACTGTACGCCACCCAAAGATCTTCTGAATAAAATAATAAAGATGATTAAACAACCTAAACGGCCCGATACACGTCACCAAACAGAGACAGCAGACAAAGTACGTCAACCCAAAATGGCCGCTTTCTTAGCGCTTGGAAATTTGTCAGGCCATGACAAACGCGAACTACACGACAGCATACGTCGACCACCAGCCAGACAGCTATCATCACGCATAAACAATGCAGGAACGCATTGCAATAAATATCAGCCCGATTAAGCAGACTATGGAGTGCACATGCCTTCAGTAAGATTCGTTTGACTGCGCGCGCCGTAGCTTACACGTCCCGGCGCGTAGGCGATTCAATGTATTTTCTTGTATCTTCGTATGGATACGCGTGGGTATGTATGCAGAGGTCCGGGGCCAGCCGTGGTCGCCGCCGTAGTTTTTGTGCGCCCCGTCCCCGCGCGGCGCTGAGGCGTCGGCGGACGCGCGTGGCGGCGCACGCCGCGGCCGTGCCGGCCACGGCCCGGCCCGTCTACGGCCGCGCGTGCCACTACCGGCACGCACGGCCCACCTGCGAGACACGCGGATGAGATGAACATAACGTACCCTGTAACACTTGATGGAAATCCTATCTATATTGCAGCAGCGAGGGCGGGCGCCGGCGCCGTCGGCGGCTATCACACGGCGCCGCGGCGGCCGGAGGGCTCACTTCTCAGTCGCCGGTCGCCGGTGCAGTCCGTTCACCATGTTCTCGATGTTCTTCAGCTGCGAGGCGACCGTGGCGCCGTGTGCCGGCTGCGGCGTGCCGGGCGACGAGGAGCCGGCGCGCGCCCGCGTCACCGTCTCGAAGGCGGACGGGCCGCCGGCGGCCAGCAGCTGGGAGGCGGCCGCCAGCGGCGAGCTGGCCGTGCTCGTGGTCGTGGTCAGCGGTGCGCTGTACGGCGAGAAGCGCGCCGCCTTCAGCCGCTCGGCGTGCACGGCGCCCGGCGGCGAGCCGGCGCCCAGGCCGGCCAGGCCCGCGTACCCGGGCGCGAACAACGAGTGCCCCGAGGCGGCCAGCGCCAGGTGCGCGTTGAACAGCAGGTTGGGGTTGAGCTGCGCCGCGCCCAGGTACGAGCCGGCCGTGGAAGTGAGCGGCGATGAGGCCGAGCCGAGCAGGTTGAGCGGGAGCGACGTCTGGGCGGCGGCGGCGGCGGCGGCGGCTGCCGCGGCTGCCGCGTTCTGCTGCAGCAGGTGGCCGAGCCCCGGCAGACCCATGCTTGGGTGCGGGTAGAGGCCGGGCGAGTACAGGTAGGGCAGCAGGTGCGGCGGCTGCATGGGCGGCCCGACCGACACGTTCGGGTGCGTGCTCGGCTGGCGCTCATCGTCCGAGGTGCGCGGCCCTTCCGAGCGCACGCTCCGGAACGCGCTGCCGCACTCGGCGTCACTGCCGTCCCGTTCACTGTCACTGTCGCGCTCACTGTCCGCCCGCCGTCGCTCCGGCTCCGGCTCCGGCTCCGGCTCCGGCTCCGGTTCCGGCTCTGGCTCAGGCTCCGGCTCCGGCTCCGGCTCCCGCTCGGCCGTCAGCGACCGCTTCTTGCTGGGGCTGTCGTCGTAGGGTCGGAACGAGAGCGGCGGCGGCCGCTCGGGTTTGACCTCCTCCTTGGCCTCTGTGGGGGAGCGCGGCGCGTGAGACGGGGGAAGTGCGCATCACAAAGGAGCCGGCACACTGTACACGCCCGCCTACGGCGCATTCTCCTCACAAAACTGGTTTCTGGGCCCGCTCGAGGCCCTCGGAGACGACAACTTGTTTTTTTAGGATCCAGGTGCTCTTCACGAGCGAGACCACACACCGGCGCTGGTTCCTGTCGTGTTGGGTCATCTCTCTAGCTAATGACGACATATTACTGGTAAGGGTAGTCTAACTTACGATGCTAATGGCTAATTTCATTCCGCAATCTTAGGCGATATCAAATGATAGCGCACGACAGGCATGGAAACACTCTCAAGTCCACTCCGGCTATTTCCTGATTGACATGGACAAATTATGATGTGAAGTACATAATATGCTGGATGTAATGAGCTGTAGGTATGCATGGAAAAATTTTCTCGTAGAGGCTGGCAGGCCGTCAGAACTCATTAGTATTTATATTCGTGAATTAATCGCGTTTATACAATCTGGAGCTCGATCTAATGGCGGTAACTGTTACTTATATGCTTACGAAACACGCGCTGCACTCTTGCCACTTACTACACTATCATCCCGGTAGCAGGTACTTTGCATGCCTCTTGCATGCTACCTGGACATGTTAATGGCGCATTTGCAGCGCTAACATGCAATTGTATCGATGTGTACGGCAAACTATTGGCGCATTATCTCGCACTATTTTCATCCACCGGGCCTCCGACTCTCACTCCTCCCCGTCCCCAGCCAGCCGTCGGCCATCGACTCTCTCCCACTCGCGATAGCCGCCTCCGCCGTCAACACACCCACCTTGCTTGATGAGTGGCGTGTCTGGCCGGGGCGGGCTGCCGGGCGCCGGCGGCAGCGTCGGCAGCGTTGGCAGCGGTGGAGGCGCCGGCGAAGCGCGGTCGCCGACGACGTCGAGCATGCGCTCCTCGTCGTCGTCCTCCGGCTCGTCGGAGGAGCGCGCCTGGTCGCTGGCCAGGTGGCCGGCCTCGTCGCCGCCGCCGCCCCCGCCCGGTGACGTCAGCGAGTTGGGCCTTCTGCGGGGGACCGCCGAGTTAGTGGCTGGCTGCGGATGGGTCTAGGATTCGGTCGCGCCGCTTGCAGGGGCTCTTGGAGAAGCACGTTGACCAGTTTATATGATCGGTGTGTTATTTGAGTGGCGAGACAGGCGTCTTTGATTATCATCTCAACGGAAAATCGCAAGGAGACGAAGGGCAAGAACTCCATTGAGGCTCTCAAACTCAAGGATTTTTCAAATATAAAAGCACCAATAGTGTGTTCACTTTTGACCCAAATCATCCAGCCTGTCGGGGTATATATCGATCGCTATATCGAGCGTGATTTCAGTCAGTACATCAATCGCGCAGGGTGACAAGGTAATGACGAACTGAAGGATTAGGGTAGCCCGTGAATCCTCTAGCGGTCCCTCATTATCCGGCGATATTGTCTGCGTTTTACGCCAGATAACGCCGCGCACATCCATCACGACGACAAAGTAACTGTCCCGACGCTCCTCCGGCCACTTTGTCAGCGCGCACGACGCTGCTCCGAACACTTCCCGGCCGCTGTGCTGTGGGACGCTGGTGCCAGCTGACTCCCGGTCCCACGCGCCGGCCGGCGGCCTTTGAACCGAGTGCTACTCGCTGCTCTACGGCACTAATCGCCTTTGAGAACGTCTCGACAAACCGCGGCGATCGGATTTCCTCGGTGGAAGTCGCATGCATCGTGCTGCACGGTGCAAATCATGACACGGGTGGAGGCAGGCTGTGAGGTTAGCTCTGAAGTCACACTCGCTGGATTTACACACAGACGGGCTGTGAGCCGGCGGATCGACGAACTCTGGACTGGCGGCGCAAGAAGCGCCGACTGCGGACCGCGGCCTGCGTGATGCGACACAACAGGCGGACAGACGGCAGGCACCGGGATCAGGCTGCAAACCGCCGAACTGCAGATTTATGAAAAGTTCAGTGCCCACTGAGCACGCCATGAATATGATCGCAAGAAAGCGACGCTGCAGATCTCCGCAGACGCTGACGCAAACTCGGCAAAGTTCGTAAAGCTGTCACGCTTCTCGCCGTCAGCCTAGCATCGTTTCTGATGCGTTTCCTGATTGGGTGTTTGCCTGTCCCCCTCCCCCCCCCCTCCCCTAGTGCGCCGCTCGCCCCGATTTGGCGGCTGACCCAGGCCGGCCAGCTCTCCGTCGCCTCAGTGGCGCGGCGTCATCCGATTATGACGTCACCCAATCCGGCGACGTCAGGGTGGAGGTGTAGCGGGCGGCACGCTTTGATCGGACGCCGAGGTCAGGCTCTTGCACGGGCACCGGGCTGGCGACGGGGGCGTTTTTTGTGGCGATTAGGAGCCATGACAGCGCCACATCAGGCCATGTCGTCAATCAATCAGCGCTGACAGTTATACGGCGGGCAGGGCCTCCGAAAACGAGCGGACAATGGACACGGTTATCTGGCCGTTTTTACGTGCAGCTACTCCAAACAGACGGCGAGAGGTAGTCGTCATCGGGTGCCGCGGAGAGCGGGCCGCTCGCTCGGGCCATTGCGGCGCCGCTGTCCGACGCGTCGGGCGGAAGTCGGCCCCGGCCGCGGCCGCCGCCCGCTCGCGCCTCGGCCGGCCTTCTGAGGCCCTCAAAGTCGGCAGCCCGAGGATTAGCCGGCATCCTCTGTGGAGCTTAGTTGGAGCGGGTGGCTCGCTCCGGCGGCGGTGGGTCGGGACGCCCCATTGTGCCGCCTGATCCTCCCTCCTTGACCGACCGAGCGTGAGAGTCAAGGCCCCGCCTGAGAGCGCCGCGTCGGTCCTGGCTGGGGCACGGGCCCAAACGCCTCCCAACTGGCCGCTGGCGGAACGGCTCCTGACGGGCCGTTACACTAGAAACGGTACGGTAGCAAGCGAAACCTGAACTACTTCGAAGGATATAATAAAACGCGAAAAATACGATAATGGGAGCACGTGTAGGTGCTTCGCCGATTGCGCAGAATAGACACTCCTTTGTAAACAATCATCGCCAGAAATGATTGCTGGTACCCCTTTCCCCTCTCCCCCCTAACAATGTTAGTTAACTATGCGATGACAGTCTAAAGACCATCATGTACTGGAAGCCTTCGCAAGGAACGGCTCTCGGAGCGTTGATATGCTTTGCACCAGCTCATCAGAAGCGCAGACTGCTTCTCCGACCCGCCAGCCAATGGGCGCGGACGGCGGAGCCGGACCGGGCCCGGCGCGGCGACGTCTGGCGCCCCATTGTCTCGGACACGGTGTGCAGGTAGCCGCCGTCTGCGGCCGCTGAGAGCGGAGCAGCTGATGACCGGCCGCGGAGAAGTGCCGGTCCCGACGGCAGGCGGGTGCGCATGTGACGGCGGAGCGACGGGCCCGCGGCCGAGCGGACGGCCGCGGGCCCGTTGCGGGCCAAGCAGCCAGGCCGGCCAGGTCACCGAGCAGGCCAAGTGGCGGCGCGAACAAGCCGACAATGGATGAAGCCATCGGACCAGCGTTTGAACAGCCAAACACGCACGTGGGTTAAGAGAATGGGAGGGCCTAGCGACTGCGCGGGCCAACGAGGGCAGCGCCGAAGCCGGGAGAACCAACGAACCACGGAGATACCCAGGCCACCGCGACGCTGGGCTGACTGGCTAGGCAGGCCACCTGGGCAGCCAAACCAACTGACAATGGCATGCCAGAACACTGGCACGTCGAGCTCGTCGGCCAGCCGGCCGGCGCCGACCGTCGCCGGGCTGGCCGACCGTCGTCAGGTGGCTGGTCAGCTGGACAATCGATTGCATGGGCCGTTGCCGGATAGCGCCGAGCGGCCCGGAAGCAGGGCTCGGCCGGGCCGGCGCGGCGGCGGCGGCGGCGGCGGCCACTCCAGCCGCTATCGCACCCCTTCCGCCCGCTTGAGTCGGGCCCCTCGGCCCGATTACGGCGTATCCAAACGGCGGCATTGTGCCGATTCAGGCGGCCCGCTCGGCCGTGATCACACCCCTTTCTCTGCGACACTATGTAACCGCGCCGCCGACCATTAGCACTCGCGCCGCCGCCGCGTTATCCAACACCCGGCCGCGCAGCCGACAAAAGCGCGCGCCGAGGGCCCTCCAACCGCGCGAACGACGCGCTCCGCATAGCGGCTGGACGGGCGCCGAGATGTACTTGAGGCCGGTGGTTTTTGTGCCGACACCGAGCTAGCGGATGTACGCCGGCAAAAAATACTCACTTTTTCTCGCGTTTCCCCGCTCCTGTGTCCCGGAAGCCCTTGGCGAACGGGTTGTGGTCAATCTTCAGCTGCGTTATCTGGAAGTGAAGGAGACGGAGTAAGTGGGGTGTGCGCGAGCGGGGACGACGGGCGGCATTCCAGGCCGCAGTTCGCTCGCAGAAGGCCCTGGAAGACGCTTGCAAAACTCGCCAACCGTTGTGTACCCACTAGGCTGTTGTCTTTGAACGGTGGACTTTCCAGATCGGGGGGCTATTCCGTGACCAGCGGCGGTTCCGGGACCCGGCTGGCGGCTGCACCGGTCAGCGACGCTGCACAGTCTCCCCGCCCACCCGCCGTGCAGTCTCCCCGCCCACCCGCCACCCGCTCTCCCCGCCCACCCGCCGGCCGGTCCCCCAGCGGCGCCGCTGCGCGCCGGCTGAGCCGAGTCCACAGGGCTCGCGTGCCAGGCTGCGATCCCTCACCTCCTAACAAGGCGAGTCAAACGCGCCGGATCATGCCAGCAGGGCCGTTCTGACGCGCCCAGTGTCGACGGCCCATAAAGCGCGTCAGCGCTACGGCCGCGCCCTGTTCACGCCACTGTCGCGCCCGACGACCGCGCGCGGCGCGCTGCTATGTTCGGCACTGTATCTCGTGACTAATCCATGCCGGGGGCGCGGACCGATCGGCGGGCCGGACGCCGCACTGGTCGGCTCGTGCGCCGGCTGCCGCCGGTATGGCCGCCCGGCGTGTGGGAAAACAACACATTAGCGGCGCGGCGCGACAGTGGCGCGTCCGGCGCGGCCCCAGCGCACGCTGAAAAATATATGAGCCGTCGCGGGCGGCTACCTAAGGGCCGGTTTATAGCGCAACAAGGTGTACAATGGACCGTCGACGCCATAAAGTATTCTCTTTTATCACGCCGGATGGCGCGGCCGTTATTCTTGGACACCATTAGGCCGCGTCTTAATCAGATTTATGCAAATAAAAGCTGAAGGCGGCGGCTTCCTAACCGCCTGTTCAAGGGCCGATGTGAAATGTCAGCCGCCGAGGTGATACTGTTTGCTCTGCAATCAAAGATGAAAGTAATCCTTTGAATGTCAGTTTAATCCGCCCGATCGGTGCGCTCAAAGCTGGTGCGACGTCCCGCTCGGCCGGCCGCGTAATCCCCCGGCTGACAACGCGTAATTCGCGTAATTCTGGAAGTGCCAATCTCTCGCGCCGGCTATGGGCAGGCGTGTAGCGACACGACGCGATTACGGCGACACGGGACCGGCGCACGAACGG